ACACCCCAGTTGCCTTCTCCCACCTCCCTCCATGGGTTGAAGGGCAGCCTGGGCCCCACCTGACAGAAAATCAGCATCTTCCAGATCTTGGCCCCCTTGTGATACACGTTCAGCTTCTTCTCTATCTCCTCTGTGGACAGGAGGTATGAGCACTGCCCCAGCGGTGCAGCCACCCTTCCCAGCCATGTAGACACCAAGCCAGCAGTCACATACCCAGAATGTCTTCAAAGGTTGCGTGCTCATGGTCCTAGGGACAGGCAGACCACATGTCAGAGCCTCTAGTGACCCTGCCAAACCTCTGGATACCACTGGGGGTAGAGGGCGAAGCCCAGGGATACAAGGACCACCCAGCAGGGAACTCACGTAGAGGATGGGAATGATGGAAGGGTCGTCCCTGCGGATGATGGTGGGGATGTACTCAGCTTTGGGCACCTTGGAAGAGATGAGCTGAGGAGATAGAGAGCCACTCAGATCCCAGGCCCAGTCTATAGCCAGGGACAGCAGGAGCCCTGGGAGGCTGCCACCCCTCTCAGCTCAGGGTGCAGCTCCAAGCCCTCCCAAACCCCAATGGAGCTGAGGGCAGAGCCCAATAACCCACCCCTCACACCCGGCAGCCTGGGGCACACAAGTGGAGCAAAGGAAAGGCTCAGCAGCACCCTAGAGGCCTCACCATGACCTTGGGTGGCAGGAAGCCCTCGGTGCTGCAGGCCGCGGCCTCGAGGCCCTTCTCCGCTTCCCAGTCCAGGTCCTCACAGGCCTCATCCAGCGTGCAGTGTGAGCTCTGCAGGTCGCTGCCTGGGAGGCAGGAGGGGTCACCGCCATAGCGGCCCCGCCGCCCACAGAGCCCGCAAGCTGTATCCTGGAGGGTCTTAGGGGTAGTGGGAGGGCCGTGCGGTGAGGGCCAGAGCCCTGGCACCGGTAGGGAACACCCGGCGGCGAGGATGTGAGCCACGTGCAGGTGTGTGTGGGAGCACAGCACCCAGGCACCCTGCCCCAGCTGCTGCAGCCCTCAGTTACCCTGCTGTGAGGTCAGTGTGGCAGGCACTTGGGCTCACAGGTGGTACACTGAGGCTCAGAGAGCACAAGCGCACAAGCTGAGTGATGCTGGGACACTGGCCAGACCGGGGCCTTAGGACTCTGTGGAGTGGGCTGACTGCAGCTGGACACCTACTGTCTCGGGAGTCGTGGGAAGTGTCGGCTTTCATGGGGGTGGGGTCGCTCCAGGACCGGCTGAAGCTCCGCTCGCGCCGCTCAGCGAACGCTGCAGTAAGAGCAGAGCCCCATCAGAGGGGGCATCCAGGAGAGGCAGGCCATGGGCTGGGGTCCTGGGCACGGGCAGGGCTGAGAGCCCATGTGGAAGGGGCCTGGCCACGAGGGCAGACAACAACCAACGGCTAGCTTGGCACAGGGACAGATGCTATAGGCAGAGTGGGGACCTGGGCTTGGGAGAGGCTCTCCAGGCATAGACTGAGGGGTGAGACCAGGGCCTGGGCAGGCAAGGAGTAGGACTGGAGTAGGTCCTAGGACGTCGGTTTTTCCAGCGCTGCCAGCTGCCCGCAAAGCATCCCCACCCCACCCCAGCCAAGTACAGAGCTGCCCACCACCCCAGGTCTTACTCTGGGCCTTCACCCGCCGACTGCCGACCATGCGCAGGTGTTTGCGGAAGTTCCTGGGGAGGAAGCATGGAGCAATGCAGGTGCTGGTGGCAAGCCCCTGCCCGCCTAGCCCTGCCCTCGCCAGGGCTCCACTCTCAGCCCCTCCTGGTGGCCCTGCATGCTCCTGGACTTCCGCCCCACTCGTACACTGCAGGCATGCAGGCTAATCTGCCCAACCCCATCCTTGGGACTCTTTAGACTTTCTCTTTGACCCTGAACAAAGGCACAGGCCCAGGCCATCCAGTGAGCCTCCTCTCCTTCAGTTAGGTTCTCACAGGGTGCACGCACAGGAAGGCCATCTGCTGACCCTCCCTAGCTTTCTGTCCCTGAGCCCACCTCCACCCAAACCCCTCAGCCACACTTCTCAGGGGAACAAGGGCCACCTTCTGCACACCAGCCAGGGTGATCCTGTCGCACAACTGCAAGTCAATCTGGGGACCAACCATAGGTACTACCCCACCTGGGGAGCAGGTCCTCACTTCCCCAAACCTTGTGCCCTTCCAGGGCCCAATGTCCAAGATGGACAGACAAGCTTCCCAGACACACTGGTGGGAATAGGGGAGGCTAGGCCTTGCCACAGCCTTACAGCTCTGGCCTCCAGGGCTGGACTGATGTGGGGAGCCAGCTGGCAGCAGTGCAACTGTCCATAAACCCTCCAAGGGCAGCTCCTGGGGCTGCAAGGACCCTGGGGCACATGACATCTCCTGCCTGTCACGTCCCCAGAGCAGGGCCAGGCCAGTGGTCGCCACCACCCTTCCCCCGTCAGGTCTGTAGGGCCAGGAGGACCCAGGCCAGTGCAGACCAGAGACAGACCCTGGTGGCGAGTGGCTGGCAGGCCCTACCTCTGGATTACGGACGCGGAATCATTCTCCCGTTTCCGGCGCTTCCTCTCCGCGTAGCCCCTGAACACCCTGGGAAACCGCGGGAAGTCAGCACTGCCCTTGGCCAGAGGCAGAAGGGACACAGACGAGGAGACAGCGGCACAAACAGAGGGCCCAGCAGGGCATCCAAGGCTGGGCTCCTGACAGACCCTGCTGTGGCCTCAGTGCCCACAAGGCACCATGCCTGTGGGGCTGAGCACTCAAGGCCCAGGTCCCTGGCCTGCACACACCTACTTGGGGGTGGTAGGTTGCCCCAGGACAATGGCTGTGCCCTCAGGTACAAGCTGCGTGGGTACTTACGAGATGCTGAAGCCCAGCAGGAAGGGGGCAGCATGAGAGAGAAGACACAGTGAGCCCAGATCCAGCTTCCCTCAGCCCCCAGCACCCCGAAGCAAGTTCCCCTCCTGTCAAGGATGAGCAGGACACTGACTGGGCAGCAGTAGCTGAGGAACTGGGCCCATGCCCTGGGCACTGAGCCCAGCCAGTCCTGCAGAGGGACAGCAGTCTGAGCACATGGCAGAGGGCTGCTCTGGCACCTCCTTGGAAGGGGAAAGACACAGACCCTCAGGAAACTCCTCTGTTGTCACCACTGTGTCACACAGAATAGAAGAGAGTGTTGTTTGGGTGCATGTGAAGAGTACACACAAACCCTTACACACCCTGTAACAATGGTACCAGCTGTAGCCAAAGCCAGTGCTGAGATGTGAGGACAGACCACAGGGTCTGTGGTGGGTGGGGTGCCATGAGGGAGGGAAGCAAGGAATGAGTCAGAGAGCAGTCAGACCCAATGTGAACTGTGGGGAGGATCTCACAGGATCTCAAAGCCCCAGGATCTCAAAGTCTCAGGCAGCTTGCCAGGGGACCTGGCACAGCTGGGCACCAGCAGCTGACCCAAACAGTACCCAGCTGGGTCTGGCATCCAGCAAACGGTCACCAGCATTTCCTGAGCACCAGGCCCTTGGGCACTCACGCTTGCATAGTTGTGGTTGCCGTCTGGAAGCTGAACAGGTTCTCCTTGGGGAACCATGTGCGGATGGGGACATCATCTGGGAGAGAGAAGGAACCAGGCTAGTGTGGACAGGCTCCTGAAGCCTCACTGTCACATTGCAGAGGGGACAGTGGGCCTAAGGGCTGGCTGCAGCTGCAGAGTCAAGGCAGCAAGGTGCCTGGAGTCCTCACGTGGGCTCCACCCAGCTGTTGCCCACTCAGAAACTCTGACTTGAGGCTTTGGTCCTCTGCTTAACTTCCTTTAGCTTCCTAGAATGAGGGGCATCCTATGAAGACCGTCTGCTCCCAGAAGTGGCCAGGAAAAAGGCTCATGCCCTCTCCTTTGTGCACATGGTCTTGGGCCTTCTCTGATGCCTCCTAGACCTTCTCCTGGGATTCCTCCAGGATAGGAAGTAGAGAACAGCACCCACAGTGGGCGGCACCTTGCTCCCACCATGCAAAGGGCTGCTAAAGCTTCAAAGGAGACATCTCTATAGGGTATAGCAACTTAGACACAGTCCCCTGGGCCTGAAAAACCTGGGCCCCAGGCAGCTCCTCAGGACTTCTGAAGACAGCCTCATCTTCCAACGGAGCCATGCTTTTTGCTTGCTCATCCCTGAAGGTCCTCCCAGAGCTCCTCCCCCCAGAAGTGTTCCCTTTAGAAACCCACTGCTGTAAGCGCCAAGATGACCATGAGGTCCTGCCAGGCTCTCTGAGGTGGGGGAGGCCCCAGCTTGGGGTGTTCTGTGGTGGTCCCAGGAGCCTGTGGGGTTCAGCCTGAGTCTGCTTGTGGGCACACATTCCACACCCCAATTCCCAGCCTCACAGTGCTGCTGTGTGTGGCCCCAGCATGTCACCAAAGCTACTCCCACCCCAAGACAAACCCCTCACCTGACACTCGATCAACACTGTACATCCTCTCCAGCTTCTTGCGGCGGCCAGAAGCCTCCGGCTGGGATGGCTGGTCCAGCCCAAAGGCCCGTGGGGAGGGCCCAGGAGCCAGCTGGGCACATGCAGGACATTCTTTGGAGCCCTGGCGGCTGCCTCCCCAACTCTGGCAGGACCTGCTGATGTCCTCGCGGCTGCTGCCTGGGCTGGCACGGAGAGGCTGGCTGTGGTGGTGAGAGTGCCGTTCCCGCTCCCGCTGCCGCTGTCCTTTCACCACTGCTAGCTCAATGGCCTCAGCCTCAGGACCGGGCAGCAGAGCTGGCTCCCCAGAGATGGTGTACACACGGGGCTTGGGCGCCTCTGCAGCTGCCTTCCCACCACCAACAGCCTCATCCGAGAGACTGCCCTCGTAGCGGCCATTGGAGACGACAGACAGGCGGCGCTTGTTCTGGGGGGCTGGCTGCATCTCAGGGGACCCGTCGTGGCCAGAGTAGGCGTCAGCCAGCAGGTGGTCTAGGGAGAGGTGTTAGGTGAGCCTATAGCCTGTCAGCCTGTGCTCCCAGTCTCCGGATGCACTGTAGGCAAGGAGCCCCACCACGGCCACTCGGTGTGATGTGGGGGCTTGGGCTGCTGGAATTGGGTCCCTGGTGTCTTCAGCAAAGGCGATTCCCAGCCTCCCTGTCCTCTCAGCTGAGTCTGAAGCCCCCGTATGTATGCCTTAGGTAGGGTGGCAGGCTTTGCTACCTGTGCATGCTCCTGGGGAGCAGGAACAAACAGCACCCCCTGCAGTCACACCGTGTGCCTGGTGCCAACTCCTCCCCTCCCCCCTGCCAGCTGGCCCCCGGAGACAGTGGTGCCAGCCCTGGGGGTGCCAAGAGGCCTGTTGCTATGACAACGGCCCGGGCTGGGTGGGTGTCATGGGGATGAGTGATCAGAGCTCCTCTGGGGCCTGGGCCAGGCTAGGGCAGGGGCTGCGAGGTGGGGGGGCCCGGACCCTAGGCACGCGACCCGCCACCTACCTGCCCCGTTGCGGCTCTCAGGGTGACTCTGGGACAGGTACTCCCCAAAGGCTCGAGCTGCGCTGCAGGGCGGCAGGCGAAAGGTCGTCCCGGCAAGCCCCGCACCTGCCTCGCGCCCGGCGCCCCGCACCCCAGCCCGCCGCGCTCACCGCACTTTGGCCGCCACCGAGGACACGGCCTCGCTCCTCAGCGCCCTCCTTCTGGAGGCCGCGGCGCCCATGGCCGCGGCCGCGCATCCCCCGGGCCTCAGAGCGCGCCCCGCGCCCGCCGCCTCCGCCGGGGGAGCCGCGCCACACCAGGGGTCGCGCTCAGGCTAGTGGTTGCGGTCGTGGTCGCGGTCACACTCTGGCCCCGCATGGCCGTGCCGGGCGCTCCGCGCGTCCCGCTGCCCCGGTGAGCTTGGTAGCCCGGGGGCGGTGGCTCCGCCGTGGCGTCACGGAAGGGGCGGGGATAGACTGTCCGTGACGTAAGCGTGGGTGGGGCCTCCAGTGTGGAATGGGGGCGGTACCAAAGAAGCACCTGGCTTCATGGTGCTGGAGGCGGGAATACTGCCTTGAAAGCTGGAGAGAGGTCCCCACCTGGTACATTCTACAATGCTGTGGCCCCAGGGGTTCCTCCTGTTTTGAGGGATCCGCAGCCCTATCCAGGACCTGAGATTTTGCCTCCTTTGACTGGAGTTGCCTCCCAGGGAAGACAGATGACATATGCCCCGCACCAAGACCTAGAGTCATCAGGTTCATCTTGGTATTGCTCTGACCGAGAGCCATCATCAACAGCGACATGTTCACAATCAGATCTGCCTTTATTAACATGCATCCGAGGCTGCCGTACCTCACCAAAGCTTTGGGGGACCTGCAGGGCTGGCACTGCCACCCAGGACTGCTGAAGGCAGGCAGGTGCCAATGCAGAGAAAGGCAAGCCCAGCGCTGGTGAAGCTCAATACCCCCAGGAAAGGGACCCCAGGAGCATGCAGAGCCTCTGCTGGGTGTGGTGTCAGCTGTGGAGATGAGGGATTTGGCGAGACCTCAGAGCAAAGGCTTCTGCATGTCTTCAGGGAGCTGGTAGGGTGAGAAGTCCTGGGATGGTTCTGGGGACACCCTGGCAGGATGTCGATGCTGCAGTGAGGGGTCATTTTCCTGCAAGCAAGGTAAAAATGAAGAGGCCCTGTCCCTAGCCAGTGTGGCCTGGAGCACCTGTGGGCAGCCCCACTGCTCACCAACTCAGAGCCGCACTCCGCCTGGGTACTCTGGAAGTCAGCATATGGGTCCTTGGTGGTATCTAGCAGCTCCTCTTCATACTCAGTCTGGTAGTCAGACTCATCTGGAGCAACAGGGAGAGACACGTCGATCTCTCCCCAGTAACTCAGACCCCTCACCCATGGCAATGCGTTGGATCCTAGATCACACCAGGCCCTGTCTACCTGGGGGTCTTCTGTAAAGACATGGAACAAGCAGATCCTCCTTGACCATTGTCAGCCAGGCCCTGTGGGCCTCAGACCAGACTTCCCCTCTAGAAGCAGAGCTATAGCACCTGGCCAGCACATGTGGCCCAGTGCTCTCAGGTCCCCCTTTCAAGAGAGGAAAGGCTGTCCCCTGTGAGGAGGACTTGCAGTCATCATTCTCCAATCCGGCAGGTTCCAGTGTAGCATGGGGCATGACTAGGGGATGAGGTGAATGAGGGACAGCCTCAGGGGTCCTGGGGAGCCAGTCCCAGTGGTATGGGGTTCCTTGAGTCAGGCTTTTAGAGCTTAAAGAATGAAGCAGTACTAGCTGAGCTTCCTAGTCAGTGGAGCACAAGTGAGAGTGACTCCTATGGGCCGGGGGGGGGGGGACCCAAGGTGTCACCTCCTGGGCACCCAAAACTCACCATCCACTACAGTTGCCTTGGCAGGCTCAATACGTGACACCATCTCGGCAAGGTCTGTGAAGGAGGCATTGGGGCAGGGCGGGACCTGGATTGCAAGGGTGGACAACGTGTGCTCAGCACTTGGCTGGGGTGGGCTGCCTCAGAGGATGAGGTGGAGCACACAGGACACTGCCAGCTCAGCCCTGTGGCTGTGGGGGTGGCTGCTGCCTCACCGCACTGGCCTTCTGCTTGCTCGTCCCCTGCTGGTCCTGCAGCATCTTTTCCAGAATGCCACTCCTGACCCAGATGTCAAACACAGTCCGCCCGTGCTGGTAACCTACTTCCTGTGCACACAGCAAGACCATAGACTGGGGACCTCGCTGCCCCCCATCTGGGGACCTCGCTGCCCCCCACCTGGGGTTGGCACTCACACAGATCTCATCAAACTTGCCGAAGTCCAGGGTGCGGTAGCTGTCAATGGGGGGCCGCAGGTACTCACAGTAGTCACTGTTCTTCACCATCTCCAGCTGCCGGACACAGCACACGTAGGCCAGGCGGGTCTGAATCTCAGCCATGTTCAAAACCTACTGGGACATATTCGAGCCTCCTAGCCCAGGTGCAGCACAGGCTGTAGGTAAGCTCTGGGCACCCCGTCATCCTTCGTTGCCCAGGGCTGGTCTCAGGGCCAGGGTAGGGGTACTGAGTGACCTGCTAGCCTCCACAAGACAGAGGGCACAGTGGATGTGGGCAGGAGCCACAGGGGATGCCTGGCCACCTGCCACCACTCCCACCTTCACTTTTGCAGCCAGGGGGTTCCAGCGTTTCCACAACAGCCACCACCCAGACAGTGCGTCGCCATAGTTGGTTAGGTCTGTCTCGTCTCGGCTGCCCACATCGATGGCGATCACCACCTTTGCCCCTAGAGATCTGGCCACATCCGCTAGGGAGGAGGCAGCCTTGGTCACTCCCTGGACCAGGGAGGACAGAGCCCAGGCTCAGGTAGAACCCCAGGGCCTAGCTGGGCCAGATCCTGCCTCACTGTGCCCCAAGGCCCAGTGGGGGCAGGAGGCGCTGGCTCCGAGGAGCCCATGTCCAACAGGTAACAGTACATGTGATACCTTCAGGCTATTAGCTCCCAACTGTGGGCACAGATGGGCCCTAAGTACTCTAGTTTGTCTACTTGGCCTTGCTCTGCATGCCGCTGTGTTGCCAGGGACAGCCATATGCCAGGTGCATTTTGTGCGCGTGCACATGCATGCATGTGCATGTGAATGAGTGTTCCATACTGACCCCAGCCTGACATTCTCCCTTGGCACACTCTTAGGAAAACGTGTGCCACCCCAGCCTTCCTGGTGTGAGAGAGACCATGGCAGGCAGCCAGGAAGTGGAGTGACCAAGAAGACACTTCCCCAGCCCGGGCTCCCCAGCCCTTACTGCACCTGGAAGGTTGTTGATGTAGCCCCCGTCCATCAGCAGGTGTCCATCCTTAGGGTCACAGAGAGGGGGCATATAGCCTGACAGGGACATGCTGGCACGCACATACCTCCACAGAGAGCCTGGTGGTCAAGAGGGTCTGGTGGCAGAGGGACTGGGGAGGAGTGTTTTGCCACCTGCCACAGCTTCTGTCCTGGACCACAGGTTGGGCCAAGAATGTATAAGTCTCATCTCCAGGGAGGGCACCAGGCTGGTGACAGACCACTGCTGGGTTCCTTGTTCTGGAGGTGCTTACCCCAAAGGGAATGTCCCTATCTCTGCTTGCCCCACAAGGCCCTTTTGTCCACCTGGATGTCCTTGTACCTATCTTGCCCTACCTGGGTGCCTATGAACAGGCCTCTCCTGCCTCCCTTAGAGATCTGCGCATGCTGCCTGCCTTTCTGGTGCCCTGGTACCCCTCCAAAAGTGCCCACTCTCTTGCCATGCTCCTGCCACACCCCTGCACTGTGAACTAGAGGGCCTTGGCTGCCTGGGAGGAGTGCTCACCATCCATGTGGACTCGCATGGCTGAGGCCGTGATGTCAGTAGTGATGGCAAAATAGGGGAGCCACAGATCCTGTAGGGAGTACAGGACTCAGGGGACCCCTCTTGCACTGAGGGTTCCTGAGCACTTGACACCAGCCAAGGGTGGCTGTGGGTTCCTACCTCAATCTGCTGGTCTCCAAAGATGCTGCAGATGCTGCTGTTGAAGCCAGCTCCTGAGAACATCGATGTGATTGGGTAGGTCAGGTCCAACATGGTCTTCACCATCGATGTCATATTCTGGGGATACAAGAGACTCTGCAGAGGAGCTCAACCCAGTTGAGAACCCTGCCTAGTGCAGGACCTGGCACACGTGTGTGCACCCACTAGCAAAACACAGGGGTCCAGCAGTGTCCTAGAGTCCTAGGGTCTCCAAAGGTGCCTGTCATGGGACTGGGCCTCAGTGTAGGCACAGAGGTCGGCAGTGTCCTTGGCTACTACCTGACCTTGAGGCAGCCTTGCCAGCACCCTCATGCCCAGGTCTCCTAGTCGAAACAAGAACAGCAAACAGGACTGGAAAATAAGCACTGTGGGGAGGGGTGTCCAGCAGCTGGAAGAGCCCAGGACTCATTCCTCACTGGTAAAGGTCCCTGGAGTACAGGCATAATTGCCAGGGAGCCAGAGTGGAGGACTGTGTGAGGCTGATGAGAGCCACACCACAGTAATGCTGCCCAGGGCTCTTGTACACAGGGCTCTTGCCCATTCCTGCTTTCTTGGGGGCTCCTCTGGACAGATCCAGGAAGCACCTGTGATCAGAGGACATGTGACTGGTTCCATCTGAGCATGCCCAGTTTCATCTCTCACTTCTTTCTTAGGTCAGAGATGGAAAGAAAGGGTCCTTGCTGTGCCTGGGAAGGGTGTGACCCAGGACAGCAGTGAGAAGGGATGATCCTAGAGTCCATATGCTAGCAAAGAGTGACACCCTCTCTGATGGTGAGCCAGGATGTTTTGGACTCTGCCCAGGTCGTGATCCACCCCCAGGAAGCCTCTGCTCTGCTCTAGTCAGCCCCAGGAGGTCCCATACCCCAGGAGGGCAAGAGGACTCTAAATCAGTCTCACTCCTGCCACCCCTGTCCTCGGTGCCAGACCCTCGGGACCTCCCACAGCCTCCTCAGCCTGAGATAGACCCTTACTATGCTATCCTCTGCCTGCTGGACACCGTTCCATGGCCCCACTCTCAGAGGCCATCCCTAATGTCTGTGCCCCCAGGCTCTTTGCAGGGTGGACATGCTGAAGGATGGACAAGCCATTTCTAGAGTAGAGGGCCACACTGCAGCATCCTTGAGGCCTGGTGGCAGGCATGGCGCCCGCAGAGAGCACATCTGAGAGTTCCCATGTGGAAGATGACCAGTTTCCCTTTCTTTTAAAAAGCAGAGTAAGGGGTTTGGGATTTAGCTTAGCAGCATAAGCATCTGCCTGACAAGCACTAGGTCGTGAGTTGGATCCTTGGGACCAAAAATAAACAAATAAATAAATAAAAATAAAAAGCAGGCAGTTTCTTTGATCTCACACATAGCTCCACTGGCTGTGCCTGTTCCACAGGGGCTGCCCACTGCAGGGCTTGAGCCAGGAATGCTCTGGGTCCTTTGGTCCTGAATCAGATGCTTTGATTCTTGAGCTTATTTCTGAGGAAGTCAGAGCCATTTACCTAGGCCCTGTGCCCAGCTAAAGCCTGCACTGCAGCTCCCTTATGACTCACACCAAGCAGCATTCTGCCCAAGGTCTCCAAGG